GTGCTCTACTTTACTTTACAGCATTGCTTCACTTTAATGAGGCTTGTTGGCATTTGTTCTTTTCACAGGTCTTTTAAAATACCACAGAATTTCAATCTGGTTTAGGTCTGGAGTCTGAGTGGGAGATTTCAACATACTGATGCTTCGATTTCCCAGGCAATTCTGTCCAATAGTTTCAAGTGTGGTTGGGATCGTGGCCCTGCCATGTGACCCAGTTTCAGCAGCTCTTGCATTTGACCCTTGAACAGTGGTCCCCAACCCTCTGGTTTTAAGGGCAGGACTTTACTGCAAGGAGTAGTTGTTACCGTGTTGATTTGTTTTGTTTTTTTAAAAAAGGGGGTCACTGCAAGGTGCAGTATTTTATTGCATGCCGAGAATCATTAGCATCAGATGTGTTAGGGCAGGGCTCGTTCTAACTCATGCAATGGACCCAGAGGACCGGAACCAGAGAACCGCTTCCCTTGGACATGCAGGAACTATTGTAAACGTTCACATTCTGGAAGCAGGCAATGCGAGCCCAAGCCATCAGCCCCTCCAACTCTGTGTTTGACAGGTGTTTAGTGTTTGTGCTAATATCGTGACTTTAGCATTTGGTACCAAATATGTCCATTCAAAGTTTTTTTTTTTTTTTTCCAAAAGCCTGATGTTTTGTTTTTTTTTTTTTTTTTTTTTAACGTCTTTTTGCAGACAACTTTTCTTTCAGGACTTCTTCTGGAAATTGTGCTTTTTTTTAAATCCCCCCAAGTGTAGAGTCATGAAATAAAACATTTGACATGCTGAGTGAGGCCTGAAGCGTCTGCGATATTGCTCTTGACTTTTTTTTTTTTTTACCAGACTGCAGCATGTGACCTCGGGGTGAACTTGCGGTGGTGATCACTCCTTGGAGATCTTGCAGCTGTCCTGAAAGCTGTCCATTTGTGAATAATTTCTCTAAGTGTGAAATGATTGATGCTATGTTATTTTGCAAACGACCTTTTAATGTTCCTGAATGCTTGGACAGAAAGGAAGCCTGATGCGTCAGCCATGATGCCAGCGCACCTGAACGCTTCAGACCGACTGGTCTGCTTATGCAAAAGGTTGTTCCTCGTCTTATTAATCAATAATTCGGGAATGCTTGATTATTGGTTCGCATGTGCTTCTTATTTTATTTTGGAAGGAAGCTTGAAAGCTGCTTTGACATTTTAGCTTAATTTGTATAAATCAAATCATGTTTAACAAGGGATTTTTCATCTGAGGTTGGTTAACTGTAGAGGCCCAGACAGTGGCTGTAAAATTTTATTTCGTCCTTATGCTTAAGCCTCTGACTGTCTCATACTTTTGACAAAGTATTTGCCTCCTTCTCTTTTGGCATTCTTGTCACATTTGCAAGTTGCAGACCAGAGAGATGAGACAGACGAAGATAACCGAAACGAAGCTTTGTCCCGCTGCATAGGATGAAACTCCCAAACTGATGGCGCCACGTTTTTTTCTTTGTAAAGCGTACAGAACCTGGAGGCATTTTCATGAAGAACCTAGACATGACTCATTTCTCATTTCTTGCAGATTACAATTCTCTGTTCAGAAATGGAAAATGTCTTATCCTCAGCTTCATGGGTTCTTGTGTAATGCTACTAGATAGGTCAAAAGTCACAGTAATCCCTCAGTGGTGTCTTGGCTTGGATCGGGTTTGATGATTCCTTGAAGGGGTCTCACAAAAATTCCTGAGCAACGACTAAATCCTTGGTAGGTTTTGCTTTTATACCCGATAACAACAACCTGACTGATCATCTACAAATATACAGTCACTTGGGTCAGCAGTGTACATTTGTTTGCCTCTTTTCTACCTTTTTCGAATGTTTCTGACTCTTGACTTTTTATAGGTACATAGATTGGATACAATGCTTTTTCTGGTCCTGCAAGAGACCATATGGGGGGGAGGGTTTTGGGGATTTTCGGGGCGGGAGGAGGTTTGGTTCCATTGCTAAAGTATCATTGCGTTTAGGAGCCAAAACTATTTCATTTTGGTTAAAGCAGGATCACTGCTTGGTGTAAAATACAGCCTTCCGAACGCTGCACCCTCCTGGCATTTCTTGATGAGGTGAGAGTGGTGCCAGGGACGGCTCTGAGATGCTGGAATGACATGGATTCATGGTTTCCAAAACGAAAAGAACAAAAAAAAAAGACAGCCTTTTTTTTTTTTTTTTAGCTTGGCAACTGACTGACAAAGGTTTTATATATAAAAATAAAAAATCATTTTAAAATGAAGAACTTTTTTCTGTAATTTGGTCTTTTGATAGCCACACATCTCCTTCCTATAGAGGATGTTTAAAATGTCACACTTTAATTTTCCCCCCTTCAACATCCTCCATTCTTGTCTCGTGGATTTCGGACCATCTCAGGCCGAGATGAAAAAAAAAATGAAAAAAAAGCTGCACGACTTTTGGCGGTGATACGCGCCGCTTTGTTTGTGCAAGGGTCACAGAGAAACGGTTATCTGCGCTGTTGTGCTTTTGATCTTGTGGAATTTTATACACAATGTGCTTTTAAGATGAGAAATAGAAAACCCATAAAAGTTGTGTGTCACATCCCACGCAATGCATGCCATGTAAGCATAAGGTCTGCTGGTGCCGTGTGGGGGGATCTTTAGCCGTGCACGAAAACTCGTGTCTCAAACCAAGCTCTGTGTTGCAGACCCACATGCGCTAATTAGACCTGATATAAAGCCTGATGTGCGGTGATTGAAAGCAGGCTCATCTTAACTCAGGACAGTCCTGTTGCACCGCTGTCGAGCGCTGGAGGGTGTGATTTTTTTTCCACTCACCGGCTCTAAGGTCAGCTTCTTGGTATTCACACAAAGGTTCTTTGGTCTTAATTTAAAAGAGATGAATTGATGCAGGTCTGTGGACTTTCAGCATTTATAACTTATTAACCGTGGAGAGGGATTTGGCAGTTTGCATTGTGCAGCTGCCCATGTGGCGACAGCAATCAGCTACACACAGAAATGCGTGGCATGCGTCAGGCTGCGCAGCCCCCCAACCCCCCGCCGCGGCACCATGCCAACCATGCCAGGCACTCGCCTGGATCTTCGTGCAGCGTGCCGGATTTGCTACACTTTCGTGCCTTGCTTGATAAACTGGAAGACCTGTTTATCTGCATCTCTCTCTTCTTGTCATTACTTGTTCCTTTTTGTTGTTTTTTTATTTGATCTTTTTCTTTTTTTTTAGATGGGCTGTATCTTGTTGGAAAACAGAACATTGGGAAGCCTTTAGAAAAAAAATATAAAGACAAGAGTTGCAGGACAATTATCAAATGAGCTGTTTTCACTGGAATGCAGATCAAGAACCGGTATGGCTCTGCAACCAGACTCGAAGCTTTATTAGTGAGATAATAGATTCAGTGCTATCTTCGTTTTCTTAACGAGAAAAATGTCAGTCTTTATTCTGAACGCCGTCCAGGACGTAAAACAGTTGAACTACAGATGCAGGGATAGCTAGCATGGTGTTTCTGCTTCAAACAACCACACGTAGTAAAAAAAAAAAAAAATCACACTCATGCCATCACAACCAAGCTAATTTTATAAGTGCTGTGCAACTGCAAATTAATTAACAACTAAGAACACTCAGCTTTAATTAAATAACAGCAATAAACGAACACAGTTGTCCTGAGTGCTTTTTCTAACTTTTGCCTTTCCAATACCGCTTCTTTAGGAGCCCACCACTGGTGGCTTGACGTTCCCTAAACAGGAACAAGCCCAGTTGCAATCTTACCTTTTATTTGCTCAGTGAGTGCTATATTTTTAACAAAATCCAAATACAGCATCACAACGTCAGCAGACTACGCTTGCAGTCTCACAAGTGCTATTTTGAATTATATGGATGGAAACTATCACATCAAGCTGCAGTATGTAAATTTTATAAACATGATGTTTTTTTTTGGGGGGGGGGGAACATTGGGGGGGGGTTTGAATTTGTAATGCTGTCATTTTGCCCTGACAGTATAATAGTCACTCTGCACTTACAATCAGGTTTAGACAATGGACAGATGTTTAAAGTTGACTTGCATTCCCACTAATAGGGCGGAAAATTATGTCAACTCATTTTCTATATTTTTTGTTGAACTCTACTGTTAGGTCATTAAAAGAAAGTTCAGATGTTTAGTGGGATTTTTTTTTTTCAAAGGTTGTGACTAACAAATATCTTACTTGTTCAGTTTTCTAAGTGTCTTAACTTTAATGAAACCTGGATTAGCTACAGAGCTAACAGCTAATCAAAGCAGGGTTAAAAGGCGTATGTCAAAAATATTCAAATCTCAAAAACATCACAGCATTTAGTGTAAAAAAACCCCATCACATTGGCAATAGGTATTTTTACGAAGAAACCTAGGGTTTCTGTTGGTCAAATAATTTTCTCATGTAAAACATAAAAACGACTGCAAAATGGAAGAGGTTTAGCCTGTCTTGCTATCAAGATTTAAGTTATTTTACTCTTTCCTTCAGATTGCTCGTGCGGACAAATACTCTGAACCGTTTCTGTTTTGCTGCTTGTGTTTTACATCACGAGGTTATTACCACGGACCAACTCAAACTCTAAAATTGCGATAGCCAGCGAAGGGAACACTACGCTAACAGGTTGCAACGAACCGAAAACTTTGCTTCATGACACTCTCTCTTCTCTGTAAACAACTACAGATGCTCAGAGTTGCTCCAGGTCTGTGTCACATGTTGACTCTACAGCGACTGTCTTCTGATTCTGTTGACCTTAAAATTTCTCAGACTGCCATCTGCGCTACAGGTTCAGGAGACCAGCTCATTGTTCCGTGATACTTTGCTAAAAAGGCAGCAAATGTCCCAGCCTGGGAAAACTTAAGATACTCAAGCCTGGCTTTAGAAAGATGCTGATGCTGCTCATACTGGTCTGCATCTGAGAAAAGAGAGAGAGAGCAGGAACTCTTCCTGACAGAAGATAAATGCAGAAGAGACGCATGATGGTTTGACCCATGATTAAGCTACCAGTTGGAAGCACTTAGAGCAGGACAGATATTTTATACAAGTCATTTCGGCAGCGCCAACTCAAGCCAGCAGTAATGATGAGTTGCAGTGCAAACCGCACGGTGGACGCTACATTACCGGCAGGATCCACACAGACCTCTGGCTGTCTTTGTGGAGAAACACCTTACTATTACGCTGATTTTTCTGGTCGAAACAAACATCTTTTTCTTTTTTTTTCCAGACGCTAAAAGACCGTTGTAGGGCAGCAGTGATGCATTTGTCTTATCATATAAAAACCCCAGCATCGTTGACTTTGTCCACCTACTGGGGGGCATTAGTCGTCTTTAGTTAATTTTCTCCTCCTTATCCTTTATATGTTTAAGTGGATTCTGCTTCATGTTGACAGCTTTTCTCTGCTAAAAAATAATAATAATAAAAAAAAAGTTGAATTACTGAGCAAGAGGGGGGAAAAAAGAGAGACCAAATAACAGCTCTGAGAATGTTTGGATTGTGAAACCAGAACATTAGTACAAACCATAATGGCTGGCCCAAAGAGCCCAGTGCCTCTCCAGAACTTCACTCTCACAGGCAATGATGTAACGCCAGCCATTTCACATGAAGCATTTACTTGTTGCACTATTCAAAGTCTATTTATACCGTCTTCGTTCACTCAAAATAAAGCAGCTTATGTTAGGCTGATGTCCTTTAAATAGCCTGTTTGTTTAAGCTGGATGAATTAGAATACAACTTGCCCAAAGCAATTCTGGAAAATTTTAATGTGCCTATAATGCCTGCAGAGTAGAAAAGAAAAAAGATGTTATTTAGTTCGTGAAATGATGAGAGACAGCGCTGCAAAGTGTGTTTGTCACAATGCTTTGCACTTGGATAAACATGGAGGGAACGTGGTTAGAAATTAAAACAGTGTTTTGCAAAAGAATCCATAATCCCTGAACATTTTGTCATTTCATCACGTTGCAACCACAAACTTCAAAGTGTTCATTAGGATTTTATGTGATAGACAACGTTAACTGTTGTGAAGAAGAATATATATTCTGTAAGAAAAGAGGATGTTTTTTAATACAGTTTTTAATGTCCTGTGTGTGCATTCTAAGCTGGGAGTTGCCAAAGTTTAACTGTAGTTTCATAATGACAACAAAGATGCCCATAGCTCATAATGATTGTCTGTTCTGTGTTAACAGCTGGATGGAGGAAGGCAGAGAGTACTGGCAGCAGAAGAGGCGGCATTCTGGGAGGAAGGCATCTATGAGGGGGTGTCAGGATGGATGTTGGTGGGGTGGAGACCCCAAGTTCCCCCAACCAGGAGCTCAGTGACCTCAGGTCTACACTACAGGAGAGGCGTGGGGCCTTCAGCACAGCGCAATGTTGGATCATGTTTGGACAAAAAAACACCGCCAGATGGTCCAGAAGTGGACAATCATTTTTTGTGTGGAAACAGTAAAAAAAAATAAAATAAAAAATGAAATAAAGAAAAAAAAAATTCTGTGCCTCTTTTATGTTCCTCACATATGAACATGTCGTATATAAGCAATGTCATATGACTATATTTTAATACAGCATTAAAAATATTAATGATTGGGGCGGGGTTTATTTATAAAGACATATGTGCTGTCCAATGGGGACACATCCATTAACCAATCACGTGTCAGTGATGAATTGTGATGTCATTTTGTTTCATCCAATGACTGAGAATCCACGTTGGCGTGCTGAAGCGCCTTTGCATATGCTAGACTATAAGTATGCTAAGTAGAGTCGCTAACACCTCCCGCCAGCCCACTCCCCCGCACCTCCACCCCCCCGCTTATGGGACTCCGCAATCGACAATATTCGACTCCCGTAAGTGACAATGCGCTTCCACTGCTAGCTGTCGGTTGCTGTCGCTAGCGTCAGTGTACAAACAGTGTCAAACCACCACTTTTCATGCCGTTTTCAAATTATTTTTTCTCGTACATTATTATTGAGTTCCTTTATATTTGATACCACCAAATAAAAGTGCAGCCACTAGCAGTCACTTCGTTGATAAGTTGAGTTCACCTTTATATGTACTGGGAGATTAGTCAACAGAGATCCACAGTTTAAAAGGGAGAGTCTGTTGACACCATCATTTTATGTAAAGGCAACAAAAAGAAATAAGATTTGTTATTTGTCATAAGGCATAAAGGGAATGAGGGAAACACAAGGAAGAAGTTCCTCTTGTCTGTACGGACAAAAACTAAGCTGAAAGAATGATAACTCAACATTTTACCCTGAATATACTTTCCTCACTGGAAGGATGGCAGCATCATACTGTGGGCATGCATTCTTACTGGAGGAAGAAAGAAGTCAGTCGCAGTTAAATGGAAAATGGACGAAGCTGAAAACAGGCGGTTCCTGGAAGAAAACCTGAGAGAGGTGTCGAAAACCTGAGCCTGTGACAGAGTTTAACCTCCCAACAGGACGTCCATCACGGGAGCTACAACAGAAGAGTTCAGTTTAGAGCGGAAACATTTTAGAACATCACCATCAAAGACCAAAGCAAGACTTGACATTATTCATCGGTGTTATAAAACATGATCAATTTTGCAAGGAAAAAACAAGCAAGAATAAGCAAAACTGGTCTAGATATATTCCAAAAGAATATGCAGCAATTGAGTATGAGCAAACAGTGGATCAACAAAGTGTACTTATGTAAAATGCCCACGATGCCCTTCCCCTTTAAGTTCTGTTTGTAAAGACTTTTGATAACTTTTTGTGCATTTTCTTCCACTTTGCAATTATCCACTACTTTGTGCTGCTTGGTCACATAAAATCCCAATAAAATAAAATTTAAAAAAAAAATCAGACAAACGTTTTTTATTTGCAGTGTGACAAAAATATGAAAAGACCCAGGAGCCACGACTGCTTCTCCAAGGCGCTTCAGACGAGACATATTTTACTGGCTGGTACAACCTGTGCCATCCAGGAGAGAGACTTTAACTACTACTAATCCGCGTACGACTGTCCGGGTGTGTGGGACACGTGTGCTTGCGGTGCTAACCAGGCCTCAGCGCATACTATGCAGCAGAATAAACAAGTCTGTCTGTGTTCACAGGCTGCTATTAAAGCCATATAAAAGTACACACACACACAAATGCAATAACAGCACACGTCATGGCCCTCAGCGGCTCTGTGTCTCTCAGCATGGGTTTGACAACAGCTGACCTAAACTATCTACGTCTTGCATCTCTGCACAGATATATAGGAAGACATAAAACATTTGGCACGAGCTTAGCTGCACAGGCACAGAGCAGCAGGGCTTACCTCGATGAAACCGCATACGATAAATACAGCGTAATAACATGCTGCTGCGTCTAACAGCCGTCCTTCACCGTCCCGCTTCAGCAAAGCTGTCTTCACGACGCAGTTGCCATGTATCATCTACCGCTGCAGAGTACGTCGACTGGAATCACTTTTTTTTTGTTGTTGTTTTTTTTATTTTTTTAAATCTCCTGGAGGCTCCATCTCGTCAGACGTGAAATATCAGATATAAAACCGCGTCACGTCAAAACCCGTAAAGAGAAGTTTTACAGCCAATAGGCAGAGGGGGGAAAAAAACCCACCGTGGCCCAGAATGAAGCCGAGACATTGTAAATCAGAGACTAATGTTACCTATGTGGAGGTTTCAGTTATGGATTTATTCAGTCCTACTGATCCCAACTGAGCGTATCTTTACTGCTGTTTTAGTGGTATGGCAGTTTTTGTGCTTGTGCTTGCTCCATAAATTAACATAATGTGAGTGAGTGGTTGCGTGGATCTACGCTCGATGCACATGATCGCCTTTGTTTCTCAGTTTGTCTATGTGCATTTCCATGTGCGCTCCATAGACTTCATGTGCTGTCCACAATGGTTTATGACCAGCTTTTGCCCTCTGCTGGTGCAATTTAAGAAGCACTGTTTTTTGTCATAGTTTAGAACCGTATATTTTTTGGGGGTATTTTTTTGCCTCTAAAGCAATTTAACTCACACCCATTAATTACTCAGACATAAGACATTTCCTAAAGTTCCCCCTTGGGCTTGTTACAACCAGATAGCCCGACACGTAGCGGCGCCAAATTGTGAACAGGAAGGAAAAGGATTAATTGCAGATGGGAGAATCTGTTGACAGTCATTAGTCAGGCACACCAAGAATGAGGCCTTTATGGAAAAGTGGGAAGAATGGCAAATGGACCGAACTTACATGGCGCTTTTCCAGTCTCTTTGGCCACCCAAAGAACTTTACACTAGAGCCACATTCACCTGCTTTCACTCCCAAACACTCACATTTACACACCACCTGTAGGAAGAAGGTCAGCTGCCACAACCGTCTCAACTACAACAACAGCAGGGAAACAAGTAGGCAAGAGTTGGAGCCTGACCGTGCTGATTCACAAGAAAGAAAACATTTGCTGAACAATAGGTTTGGTTTGGTTTGGTTTTGTTAAAAATGACCAATTGCTAAGGGTATATATTGTTAACAAAACAAGTCATTTAGATCAACATTACCAAGCAGGGTCACCACTTGATTATCAGGTGTGACGCCAGTGTTGCTAATGTTTGTTTATTGTAAAATGTGATTCTTGATCTGACCCCGCCAGGTTATTATTGTAAATAAAAATTTGTTCTTGAAGAAAGGTTAAATAAAGTAAAAATAAATACAATGCCAAGTAGTCCAGTCCCAGTTATTTTCTATAAATACCTGCCTTTTAAGGCTTAGGTGCTAAAATAACAACAGATGAAGGGACTACAGCAAAGAACCAAACTACGGATATTTAGAGACTTTGGTACTACCAGCCAGACGCAACAAAACCAACTTTGTTTCAACAAATTGATTCTCAAAAAGGAATCAAGTCAAGAGTTGAGAAGATGTGACACAAAAGACAAGAATGACAGAATCAGCTATATTAGATGAGACTGTCTGCACAGAAGAGTGATTTGACGTTGATTTTAGCATTCGGATAATAGGCATATTCTTGCTGTACAATTGAGAAAAACGATTCTGATGGAGACTTGAGATGCGCGCCATCCTTCAAGTTAAGCACTGGCTACACGTCAGATGAATTCTTACTAATGTAGATAGTAAACCCAACAGATTGGTGAAGTGCCATAAGTCCCACGCATTTCCCATGCTAGCTCACACCAAGCAGTGAGTTCCACCTCTCTGTCTCACCACTCTCCTTTTCATTCTCTCTCTCTTCCCTCTCTCTGTCTCTCGTTTTCATCCTGCCATGTCCTCTTCCCATCTCCTTTTCATTCTGGCTTCCGTCGTGCACCACTGTCATTATCGCCACTTTGTTTTTAGCTCATTTTCAGCCTGACCTCATCTCTGGAGGACGACAATTATCAAACGGGGACATTGTGTTTTAACATTGATTTTGCGGTCAGCGACTCGCTCACGTTTGACGGTCGTTTTTGTTCTCTGCAGTGAAACTTGCCAAGTCCCAAATGCTCACCCCACCCCCATCCCGCCTGCCCCCAAAACCACACCATCCAAACTCGCTCCCTGAACCCCAACGTATACCCCCCAGTCCAATCTGAGAAGAGGGGGGCTTAAGAGTGATCACATAAACGGATCATGGACCAACATGTCAGTGCTGCTCTAGATGTCAAAGGAGAGTTTTGGGTAAGGTGTAGCGTACAAGTAGTCTGGCAGTGCAAAGGGGCAAAAGCATGTGAGTAATGCCAGGTTGTTATGGGCAGTAAGGTGACTGATGAGCAGCTACATTCTGGTTTTATTCATGTGACCTGCTTTGAGAAGGATGTTGAAGCAGGTGGCAGATGGTTCAAACAGCAGAGGCAAAGCCCTGGGCAAACGGACTGCGGTGGTATTTCACTCACCTTGAGCATATAAAACACTATCCCTGTGGAAGCAACAGGCAGCATGGGGGGAAGGGGTCAGGCTTCTCCTCCTTGGCATGACATAGATCGCATAACTGGGCCAGCGCGGGTCTTAGCCTGCCTTGAGCTGATGAAAGTGAACCTCTAGAAAAAAAAAACACCTCTAAAACTCAGCAGGTGAGTTTAATCCTCATGCAGGCCTGACAGGAGATACAGTGACTTAACTGATGGTTTATGGCAAAATGCATCGACATGGAGAGAAGCGGCCTGAGACACACGAGCCGTCTCCCAACCCTCTAATAAGAAATTGAAGACACATGTCCGAATCTGCACCTTTTTACTTCTTGTTCGCTTTGCCAGAAGCTCTCATCACTGGCAGTACATTTCATATTGAAAGAGCAGCATTCAGGGAATGTAACTAATGCTGTACGTGCTTCGGAGTTGCCACAGAAATGAAGCACATAGGTGTTAAGAAATGCCAGTCAGTCTCCCTCAGTTCAGCTCCTGGCAGTGTGCTGGCAAGGCCCAAGGCCCAGGAATGCTGTGCCCATCTGTCAACAAGAAGCTGCCTTCCCTGGCAGATACCACAGAGGAATTTTGTAACCTGGCCCTGGGTGGATTTCATAACCTGGCCAGAGGGCCTGAGGACTGTGAGAAGATTATGTTCAGGAGCTGCATGCATTTGTATGTCTGCAACAGAAGTGAGTTCAGAAACACTGCGACGTGAAAAGATTAAGAACCGTGTCATCGCACAGGAACCGTTTTCCTCCTAAACTGAATAAAGACCCTTAGAAGTGGAAGGTAAAACCAAAAAAAAAAAGAAGAAGAAATCTATGAAAGTTGGGTCATAACAGTACTGGAAATTTGATTACAGTGACCTGAAGCAATTGATGAGGTGTCTTGTCACCTAAGTTATTATCAAACATTGCAGTCATATATTTGATTATATTTCATTACAGTTTATTACACCAAAAGAGTGCCCTTGCAAAAGCATTCATACCTATTGCACTTTTTCAAACTTTGTCATATTGCAAGAAGAAACTTCAACATTTGATTTTCCTTGGATTTTATGTCGCAGACTAACGCGAAGAATCTGATAATTGTTAAGCGGAAGGGAGAGGTACGTGGAAAATGAATTCTTTACTAATTGAATTTTGAAAAGTGTGGTGTCATTCAGCCTCCTACATGCTGAAACCTCAACATAAAATGAAGTGCAGCAAATTAAAAACAGGTCGATGTGAACCCTGTAGGAGCACTCCATAAATCTGAGCGTTGCGAAAGAAGACAAGAAGAACAATGTTCTTCAATGAAGAAGTCTTGTTGCAGTTTAGCACAAGCCATAACACATTCACATTCCCCTGAGCACACCATGATGTGAACCATGGTGGTGACAGCATCATGCTGTGGGGAAGCTTTTCTTCAGGCAAGCTGTGTTACTTCCATGTCATCATTGACAATATTGGAACCACAATAGTTCCAATATGCATCATCCCTGTTGTCACGTGACATAGCTTAGCTTAATACCATTCATTACTTTGATAACTTTTGCAACGCATCTAAATAACAAGAGAAGCAACTTACTGTAGCTTTAAATAATTTGGCAAACGATTTAGTAACTTTGTGGAAGAATATTGCGTTCTTTTCAAACCCTTATTTATTTGTTTCTTTGTTGTTCTTTATTTTTAAGTCCTGTGTCAAAATGCAATTAAGCCTCTTGGAGCTCATAAGTGAGAAGAATTTTGCTGCAATAAACATACTTTCTTTTGCTCTCTGGCGGATTCGGTTGTTATGAAGTGAATGTCTCTATTGTTTTTATTTTTATTGCGCTCGTGCAGTAATCGCTCACGAGAAACCTATCAGCCGAAACGTTTCGCTTTCGCTGGGTAGATGAGTGTGGGGTTGGGGTGAGGCGGGGGGGGGGGGAGCTGAATTATTAACATCTTCTAATGTGCAGCATCCCTCTACCCTGGCCCTTAGCTCATCCTGCTGCCCGACGCAGTCCTTCTTCACCTTCTCCTCCCCCACCTCCCCACCAAATGTCCCTTCCAACCATAGTCTGACCTGATCCTGTTGCTCTGATTCTTATAATGAATGGTGTTCTCTATGTGGGGCCTGAATATGTGCGCTGGACCTAAGGGAGCACCACCTGAGTGATGAATCTGTCTCTCACTCTCTCTCTCTCTCTCTCTTGCTCTCTGGGAACACAGGCTCTTGCTGTATCAGGCATCTGTGGCAGGGGCAATTAGAAAGGTCCAGACGGAGCACAAGCTCTCTTCTCATGCTGTCCCCATTAGTGAGGGACAGACAAGCAGTGAGGATAGACAAGAAGAGAACACATAACAACAAGCTCTCAGAATAACACCTTAGCGGTTGTGTAGTAACCTTACCGAGCACTGAAAGTCTTAAGGTAACACCCCCAACTTGTACAAAAAAAAGGGATTTCATTCGTGCCAATCAGACGTCGCTTAAGCTCCTCTGCTGTGACAAAAATAAAAAAGACAAATCACATCATCGCGTTAATTAATGAAAAAAAAAAAAAAACACAATAGGGCAGAGTGGGATGAAGCCCAGCTGCGTGCCAAGATG